TGGTTCAAATCCTGCATATAATGAAGAAACTGGTGCTTGACTGCCTTGTGGAAGAGTAGTTCTGAGGCTTTGGAATATTCTTGCCAGATAAGAGAGTCTCTGTACTCCTGGGGCCTTGAGCCATGCCAGATATTTCTGGATAACAGTGTGAATTACAGTGGGGCATTTTGACTGTGACTCCCGAAGGGGCTGGAGCCAGAGGTCAGTCACTTAGGTACTCTGTGCCTAAGGAACTGACCCCTAATAAAACCCTGCATGCCGGTGCTTTCCTGGCTGCGAGTACTTCACATGTGCTACCACACATTGCTGCTGGGAGGACTGAGCCCTGTCCACACAGCTCCTCTGGGAGAGGACGACGAGAAGCTTGTGCCTGGTCCCCCTGGACTCTACCCTATGTCTTTCATCTTTGCTGATTTTAACCAGTTATCCTTTCTCTGTAAGAAACCGTACTTAGGAATACAACAACTTTTCTGAGTCCTGTGAGCCCACCTAGCAAGTCACTGAACCTAAAGCTAGGCTTGGGTGTCACCAATTTAGGATAAGAGCTTTTTATTTCATAAAACTATTAGAGAAAGGGATAATGCTGTGTTGTTCCTGTTTTGAAAAAAATTCTGAATTGTAAGTTTTACAGATACTTTTTTTTCACCTCCAAAAATGTTCCTTGATTTTTGTCTTTTTCATATGATAGAATGTCTTACTCTCATCAATTTGATTTTTTTTTCCATTCTTAAAATTATTTATGCTTGGTTTTTCTGTATTTTTTTTTAACATTCTCCTTATTACTGTTTTATTTATGATTTTATCATGAACAATTAGTGTTTTGTCTTCTATCTTTATCATACATGGGCAGATTGCTAAAATTTAAAAATATTTCATAAGAAAAATTACTAAAATATGGTAGTTTCTGACTCCTTAAACAGAGCAGTCTACCCAATTTAACATTTCCGTGATTCACTGCCCCATATTGAACATTATGGTGTATAATGGGCTCTCAGGTCCCACCGGGGAATGAGCGCCTGCTTCCTCTGTGTTAAATGCTCCCTGAACTGCTCTCTGCTAGGAGTTCTTGGGTTTGCTTTCTTTCGTGTTTCCTATGCTTTCAAACTGCACTTCTTTTAATTCTAGGGTTGCCTTTCTGTAATAGTCCCTTTCCTCCCTTTAGTTGGCTCTTTTTTTTTTAATCATTGTGGGCTCAGAGGCTGCATAATTAAGCTTATTATGCAATGATTTCCAAAATGAGAGTAAATAGGCTCTGAGTAAGAGCCTGGGGCCCTGTTCTCTAGATGATAAAGCTTTTTGCTCCACATCATGGAATTTTAAATACACATTTTGGATTTTTGGAGATGTTTTGCTTCCTTGTTAGTTGTTTTAGAGAGTTATAAAGTTGATGGGTTAGTCTGTCTATTTCTTCATTCATTCATTCAGTGCTTATTAACTGAGCGTCTGCATGGAGCTGTTTACTGCATAGCTTAACCTTAGTAGATCAGACACAATGTTTAGTCCAACTCTTTTTCTATTAATAGCAAATAACATGAGTGCACAGCCTGACTTTGTTGTAGAAACTTCTGATGATGGTATTTTGAATTTTATGATCTGTGGTAATACTTTTCATTTTAGGTTCTAAGGTATAAATAAGCATGCAATGCAGAAAACAGTTGACATAGCAGGCCTGAAACTGCTCTTCTGAGAAAGGTCTACTTGCAGGGTTGGCCATTGGCTGCCATCTTGGAGCTAGGCTTCCAGAGAGCTGCCAGTCAATGTTTAGCTAAAGAGGGTGTGTAGTCCACTGCGTCTCAGACTGTCTGTGCAGATGGTATGGTTTATGCCAGATGCCTGCTTCCATTTGGGAAGTCTAGGACTTTGATACATGTTAGGTTGCCTATGTAATCCAAGTCTTTGCCCCAACCACTGATGCTGAAGAAGCTGAAGTTGAATGGTTTTATGATGACCTGCAAGACCTTCTAGAACTAACATCCAAAAAAGATGTCCTTTTTATCATGGGGGACTGGAATGCAAAAAGTAGGACGTCAACAGATACCTGTAGTAACAGGAAATTTGGCCTTGGAATACAAAATGAGGCAGGGCAAAGGCTATCAGAGTTTTGCCAAGATAATGCACTGGTCATAGCAAACACCCTCTTCCAGCAACACAAGAGATGACTCTACACATGGACATCACCAGATGGTCGATATTGAAATCAGATTGATTATATTCTTTGCAGCCAAAGATGGAGAAGCTCTATAGACCAGCAAAAACAAGACTGGGAGCTGACTGTAGCTCAGATCATGAACTCCTTATTGGAAAATTCAGACTTAAATTGAAGAATGTAGGGAAAACCACTCGGTCATTCCGGTATGACCTAAATCAAATCCCTTATGATTATACAGTGGAAGTGAAAAACAGATTCAAGGGATTAGATCTGATAGACAGAGTGCCTGATGAACTATGGATGGAGGTTCGTGACACTGTACGGGAGGCAGTGATCAAGACCATCCCCAAGAAAAATAAATGCAAAAAGGCAAAATGGTTTTCTGAGGAGGGCTTACAAATAGCTGAGAAGAGAAGCGCAAGGCAAAGGAGAAAAGGAAAAATATACCCATATAAATGCAGAGTTCCAAAGAACAGCACAGAGAGATAAGAAAGCCTTCCTCAGTTATCAGTGCAAAGAAATAGAGGAAAACAATAGAATGGGAAAGACTAGAGATCTCTTCAAGAAAATTAGAGATACCAAGGGAACATTTCATGCAAAGATGGGTTCAATAAACGACAGAAATGGGATGGACCTAACAGAAGCAGAAGATCTTAATATTAGGAAGAGGTGGCAAGAATACACAGAAGAACTATACAAAGAAGATCTTCACGACCCAGATAACCACAGTGGTGTGATCACTCACCTAGAGCCAGACACCCTGGAATGAGAAGTCAAGTTGACTTTAGGAAGCATCACTGTGAACAAAGCTAGTGGAGGTGATGGAATTCCAGCTGAGCTATTTCAAATCCTAAAAGATGGTGCTGTGAAAGTGTTATACTCAGTATGCCACCAAATTTGGAAAACTCAGCAGGGGCCACAGGACTGGAAAAGGTCAGTTTTCATTCCAGTCCCAATGAAAGGCAACATCAAAGAATGTTTAAACTACTGCACAAATGCACTCATCTCATCTTACACACTAGCGAAGTCATGCTCAAAATTCTCCAAGCTAGGCTTCAACAGTTCACTGAGAACTTCCAGATGTACAAGCTGAATTTAGAAAAGGCAGAGGAACCAGCGATCAAATTGCCATTGGATCTGTTGGATCATCAAAAAAGCAGGAGCGTTCCAGAAAAACATCTGCTTTATTGATTACGCCAAAACTTTTGACTGTGTGGATTGAATAAACTGTGGAAAACTCTTCAAGTGTTGGGACTACCACACTGCCTTACTTGCCTGCTGAGAAATCTGTATCCAGGGCAAGAAGCAACAGTTAGAACTGGACATGGAACAACGGACTGGCTCCAAATTGGGAAGGGATTACGTCAAGGCTGTATATTGTCACCCTGTTTATTTAACTCATATGCAGAGTACATGATGTGAAGTGCCGAGCTGGATGAAGCACAAGCTGGAATCAAGATTGCCGGGAGAAATATCAATAACCTCAGATACACAGATGACCCCACCCTTATGACAGAAAGCGAAGAACTAGAGAGCCTCTTGATGAAAGTGAAAGAGGAGAGTGAAAAACCTGGCTTAAAACTCAGCATTCAAAGAACAGAAATCATGGCATCTAGTCCCATCACTTCATGGCAAATAGATGGGGAAACAAGGGAAACAGTGAGAGACTTTATTTTCTTGGGCTCCAAAATCACTGCAGATGGTGACTGCAGCCATGAAATTAAAAGACAGTTCCTTGGAAGAAAAGCTATGACCAACGTAGACAGCATATAGAAAGCAGAGATATTACTTTGCCAACAAAGGTCCGTCTAGTCAAAGCTATAGTTTTTCCAGTAGTTATGTGTGGATGTGGGTGTTGGACCATAAAGAAAGCTGAGCACTGAAGAATTGTTGCTTTTGAACTGTGGTGTGGTAGAAGACTCTTGAGAGTGCCTTGGAGTGCAAGGAGATCAAACCAGTCATTCCTAAAGAAAATCAATCCTGAATATTCATTGGAAGAACTGATGCTGGATTTCCAATACTTTGGCCACCTGATGTAAAGAACTGACTTATTGGAAAAGATGCTGCTGCTGGGAAAGATTGAAGGCAGGGAGAGAAGAGGACGACCGAGGTTGAGATGGTTGAATGGCATCACCAACTCAGTGGACATGAGTTTGAGCAAGATGCAAGAGTTGGTGATGGACAGGGAAGCCTGATGTGCTGCAGTCTATGGGATTACAAAGAGTCAGACTTGACTAAGCAACTGAATTGAGGTTCCCTGTGTGACTAGCCCCACGCAATAAATACCTTGGTCCCATGAGCCTGTAATGGACTTCCTTGAGTGGTAGCATCACACACATATGTGTTGAAGTTTCCTGGCTGGGAGAAAGAGCATGCTATGTGACCCCTTGTGGAAGGGAGAGAGGATTAGGAAGCTTGCACATAGAATCTTCCAGCTCCACCCGTGTCTGTCTCCCTTATGATTCAGCTCTGTGCCTTTGTTGTACTAAGTCTATACTATGAGTACAACCATACATGGGTCTCATGAGTCCTCTAGAATCTCTGAATGTGAGGTAGTTTTGCTACACCTAACACGAATGCTAAAATTTCTGAGTCTCTTACTGTGAGGGTAGACTGTACTGATCATTTTAGCTGAATTGTCTCATTGAATCTTCCAGCACCCATGCTCTGTGTGGCAGGTCAGTGTCATCACCTCCACTGGCAAGTGCAGGTCCTGTAGCTCATACATTTATTTCAGTATCTGCTTTTTTTTGAAACATGTTTGAAACTCATGGGATATTTTTTCTGTTGATCAGAGGAAACTTACAGTGAGAAAAGCGCTGAATGTTTTTTAATCATGTTGTCCTTTCAGGTATGAACACATCCTCACGGAGCCAGACCCTGTACCAGCATATGCTCTGAAGCTGCTGGTTGCCATGACTGAACACAACTCAACTTTTACCAGGTACTGTTACTTCAGACTTTCATTTCTTTGTTTCTCATCTATAAAGTGAATTTTATGTGTTCCGAAAATGTTAAAGATGATGAGATTATACAAGAATCGAGTTTAAGTTACCAAAGTGATAAATTTTCATGTTTTATGACTTGTAATATCTGTGATCTATGGTGTTTTGGATTATGTTCTCATATTTTTATTCTTTGCTGGAGTTTGCATATTGTGGAATCCATAATGCTCTAAGATTATAAATTATTCAAAGAGAAAATTCTAACACATGTACTTTTTAAAAAGTCAGTTGTCACCTCATTGTACTGAACAAGTTATTTATTAAGTCCCTGTCATATTTATTGACTATAACTTTTCAACTATTTTAAGTTGACATACTTTCATTGAGTGGTTGAAAGGTTTTTGCCTTTATGGAAGACACCACCTGTGATGACACCAAATTAGTTGCTAGAGCAGCAGCAACTGCTTCAGTCTTGCAAGCAAGAACTGGTCAAAGGGCACCCAGGTCTGCAGAAGGGCAGGAGAAGAGTTGTTGCCTTCAAAGAAGAACACTGATTTTGATTGCGTGGGTTGTGTGGGTAATGTCTGACCCTGTGGGTTTGGATCCTGCACCTGTAGGTACAGTGCACCTGTAGAGCTGTCCTTCAGTCTTTCTTAAAGAACTAAATCACACAGTTGCAACCTGGATTTCAGCCAGTCTGCTGTTTACCAGCTCTGCATAGTGGTGATGTTGTTTTTGTTCAGTCGCTCAAGTCTTGTCTGACCCTCTGTGACCCCATGTACTGTAGCACACCAGGTTTCTCTTTCCTTCACCGTCTCCCAGAATTTGCTCAGATTCATGTCCATTGAGTCAGTGGTGTCATCCAACCATTTCATCCTCTGTTGCTCCCTTCTCCTGCCCTCAGTCTTCTCCAGCATCAGGGTCTTTTTCTGATGAGTCGGTTCTTCTCATCAGGTGGTCAGAGCTTCAGTATCTATCCTTCCAATGAATATTCAGGGTTGATTTCCTTTAGGATTGACTTGTTTGATCTCCTTGTTGTCCAAGGGACTCTCAAGAGTCTTCTCCAACAGCACAGTTCAAAAACATCAGTTCTTTAGTGCTCAGCCTTCTTTATAGTCCAACACCCACATTTGTACATAGTGATGAGCTACCATTAATGCTGGATAAGAAAGGCTCTTTGTAGAGTATCCGTATTGAGTGGCAGTCTAAACTAAGGCAACCTTTGCAGGGGGTGTGCCATGCCTGGCACGCACCTTGACCCAGTCACAGGTCAGCCACAGCGCTGGGGCTGTTGCAGCTCTCAGGCTTGTGTCCTGTGGGTGGCCGTGTTCATTTCCAGAGAGTGACATATAAATGTGACCATGTAGTCTGGGTGTCACATTGCAAAAGAACGTGGAGAACACTTAAGTAACCCTTTTATATCCTCGGCAGTTCTTAATCCTCTGTTTCTGTAGCCTTTCAAAACTCTGTCCAATGAGTCTTCCAAAATTTCTGACTTAGAAGGCACCATTCTCTCTTCCTACAAAAGAAATTTATGTCTGAAGAGTGAATCTGTGTTAGAAATTAAAGCCAAATTCAGATAGTTGTTTCTTTCCTGGACCAAGTGGTAAAATTATGTACTAATTTTATTCCTTCATTAGATTGAATGGATTGTATTTCCTTTTTTGTAAGTTGTCTCTTGCTCATTCATGAGACGTGTTTTCGAGACTACTTTCTCTTCTTGCCAATTCTTTATTAAATGCATCTGAACTTTTCATGTTGAGGGGAAAAAGTCTTAATGAGGTAGAAACAGATAATTGATGACCTAAAATCTTTTTATTTTAAAATGATTAGACCCTAGGTTTAGGAGTCAGTTTATTCTTTTGAAAAAAGATTTACAAGCAGAATTCAGTGGATTAATTTTTATAAACTTCTTTGTTTTCCTTGCATAATTAATATTTGAGTATCTTGTATTTGTATTAAATTCCAGTAATATAACCAAGAGGTACCCTGGGCTTCCTTGTTCCCCACCACTGATACACAAATCTTTGCCAGGGCTAATAGTTATTATTATTTTGGTGGGTGTCCTTCTTGAACTTTTGAGGGGTTATTTAAATTCAGTGTGAATATACTGAGATAACTTCTCTTTGTGGTGGTCAAATTTTAAACAATCATAGATAGTATCATTGGATATGTGTTTTACTGAAATTTGCTTTTTCATATATCAAAATCATTTGAAGATCTTTTTATATCAGTATTTATTCACACTTTGGCAATATTTGCCAAATTACGGATGGAAATGGGATTTTATTTTATTTTGCTTTTACTTATCTACTGATAATCTGGAACCTCTTAATATTTATTCACTATAATTGTGAAAAGTGCATAGCTTTCAACCTCCAGTTCTACTTCTAAGTATCTATTCTAGAGAAAAATGTATATATGTGCAAAGATTTCAGCCTAAGCAAGTAAGTTTTAAAATGAGGACAATGATTTTAACATTAAATTATGTTATAGTTATAATAAACACAACTGTGTAACAGTTTAACAGGGCAAGATTCATTTTGAATATTGTTCTACAAAAATATCCTAAAAATTTTGTAAACTGAAATTATTTATCACCCCCAAACCTCATTTAATAATCACTTTTGCCTTTTGTAAGGTCTCTTTCTATATTCACTATTCTCCTCTGTTTGCCTTTTCTCTTGAAACAAGATATAAAAATAAGAGCTGTCCCATGTTGATTTTGACTGAGGCTCCAGAAATCAAGAGCAAACCATTAAAGGCCTATTACCACCCACCTGCTCTCTCCCTCTCCCCACATCTTTCTAAATGGAGGTCCTAGATCCTATGGGTCCTAGCAACCTGTGTGCATCTTGCAAAAATCTGTTCATACACCTTGATGTGGGGGTGGGAGAAAGAAAGTTTTTATTTCCCTAACTAGATTTTCTTTCTTTTTTCCCCCCAAAAATGATTTTTCAATCCAACATTTTGAAATGGGTAATAAATTTCTACTTGGGGAAAAGATACAATATGCCAAGAAGAGCAGTTCCTTCCTCTGTCCCGCATGTCCTTTCCTCATCTTCTTCTTATATGCTGTGTGGTTTGACTACATTTATTCATTTTAGGTCTGAAGGCAAATTAATAGCACTGTGTATTGTCTCATTTCTCCCTTTCACACACAAATAGCATATTATGTATATTTTTCTACCCTATGACTTTTTTCCCAATGTTGTTTCTATATGGATGCATAGAGAGCTTCCACATTGTGTTTTACAGTTATAAAGCCTTCCATTGTATGGATGTAGCATGCTTCACCTCATTGATGTTTAATAGATAGATGTGGGTTGTTCCACATTGTTTACTCTATCAATCCTTTGATAGACAATGACAATTGTCTGTGAACAGACAATTCATAAACAATGAATAATCTTATTCATGCATCATTTTTTAGTATGCATATACATCTTACAGGGTAAATCTCTAGCTATGATATTTGTGTATCAAAAAATAAATGCACTTAAAAATTTTTTTTTCTTACGATTTGGCCACATTGCCCTATATGTGTCCTGTGCGTGTACATTCAGTCATATCCAACTCTTTACCACCCCGTGGACTGTAGCCCGCCAGGCTCCTTGGTCCATGGGATTTTCCAGGCAAGAATACTAGAGTGGGTTGCCATTTCTTTCTCCAGGGGATTTTCCTGACCCAGGGATTGAACTCATGTCTCTTGCATCTCCTGCATTGGCAGGCTGATTCTTTACCAGCTGAGCCACTGGGAAAGCCCCTGTGCTAATGTGGAGATTTTACCATTTTGCATCTTCAGAGGATATGTTTGAGGATGCCTGGTTCCCTACAACCCTGCCATCAGAACTCGTTAAATTTTGTAATGTGCCAGTGTGGTGAGGTAGATTATTCCCTGGTAATTTTCGTTTGCATTTTCCTTTTCACGAGTGAAGTTGAGTGTTTCTTTATATGGTTGAGGCCCATTTGTATTCTGCTTTTTGCTCGTGCTCTTTGCCATCAGTTCTTGGTCTTGGCGATGCCACTCTTCAAAGGGAAGCTTCCTGCCTGGCTGTCCATTGCACAAATATACTACCGTCTGCTAATCCAGTTTTACTTTTAACAATGTCTGCGCTGTTCCTTTTTTTTTTTTTTTTTTGCTGTCGTGAGTAGCATGACCATGAGTATTACTTTATCTGCTCCTTGGTGGATCTATGTATGTGTCTCCATTGAGTATTCATTCTAGAGTGGAAGTACTGGCTCATAGAACTTGTGCTTGCACAGATCCAGTAGATATCACCAAGCAGTTTTCCTTAGTGGTTGTACCAATTTACATTCCTACTAGCATTGGTCAAGAGGTCTGGTTGTCACACAAGCTTTAAAATTTTTTTTAAAGTCAGGTTGTATTGAAGTATAAGTTTCTATACAGTAAAACGCATGCATTTTAGGTATGCAGGTCTCTGAGTTTTGAGAAACATACTCAATTTTGGAATTATCATCATGATCAAGATAGAGTATTTCCATCATTCCAAAATATTCGCTTATGCCCCTTGGACTGTTAGCTGATGAAGATTCTGCTTGTGTGGAGAATAATATGACCAGACTGACTTTATGTTTCATTTTAATTTTTTTTCCCATTTATACAGAATTTCAGTACAAGCAAAACTATTTTTTTTTCCATTTATTTTTATGAGTTGGAGGCTAATTACATTATTGTAGTGGTTTTTGCCATACTTTGACATGAATCATTTGAATCAGTTCTAATGAGATGGATGAAACTGGAGCCCATTATACAGAGTGAAGTAAGCCAGAAGATAAAGACCAATACAGTATACTAACGCATATATATGGAATTTAGAAAGATGGTAACGATAACCCTATATGCAAAACAGAAAAAGAGACACAGATGTACAGAACAGACTTTTGGACTCTGTGGGGAAAAGGCGAGGGTGGGATGTTTTGAGAGAACAGCATCGAAACATGTATATTATCAAGGGTGAAACAGATCACCAACCCA